TTTTATAATACCTAAAACATAAATTCTGTGATCTTTCGTATTCTCGCTTTTTTCGCTTTTTCGTTACTCGTTATAGATCACAAAACACCTAAATTAACAAATGGAAAAATAATTTATAAAATACAACCTAAATAAAAATAAAAAAAAAAAAAAAAAAAAAAAGAGAAAAAAATTTTAAAAAAGAGAAAAGAAAAAAAAGAAGAAAAAAAAAAAAAAAAAAAGTATCTGTTCTTATCAGTTTAATATCTGGTACGCCGGCACAGTCCGGCTCATATATTAATCTGATTTTTGGCATTAGGTCATGGGATCATAGGTTTACCTTGCCCTGACCACGGGTTGCCTCGGCTTTGCACTACTGCTGAGCGCGGCCCAGAATGAAAATAATTGAAATTTTTTGACATTTAGAGTGTCTAACATCGCCGATGGTCTCAGCTGCTGCTGATGATGATGCTGCTGATGATGACGACGACAAAAATGATTTGACGTACTAATGCAAACCACAAGTACATTGTTGAAGACGGCGTCTGTCCGACTATGTCTGCAGTGGTCAGTTATCGCTTCTCGGCCTAATGGCTAAGATCAAGTGTAGTATCTGTTCTTGATTTTAGTCCATTTGGACGAGCTAGAGATCCTAACGTTTATAAAAGAAGGTCTACTGGCCTTCTGAGAGATTCTGTGAGCTTACCTTGCCCCGTCCACGGGTTGTCAAGGAGAGTGTGTAAAAGTCTACTGGCTTTTAGTGTGTACGAGTGACTGAGAGGCTATAGAGGTCGTAGACCTCAGTGTGTTAAATAAGAGTGATTGTGAGTATAAAGAGGTTAGTTAGACCTCTTTTAGAGGTCTACTGGCCTCAGAGTGACCGCATGTATAGAGAGTTTATTATATACGTTCAGTATTATAACATTTTACTATAAAACCAACTAAACTATGGAAATAGATACTGAAACAACCGCTATTAAAGCGCCTAATAAAAGCTATGCACATGCTGTTAGTAAAATCCATACACATGATGCTAACATTAAAAACCCAATAAATGAATATACTTCACTAAAAAATACCATCTTATGCAAACCATCCACTAAATATAGTGACTTTGAAATTCTATCAGCAATTGAAGATGCTGGATATGACAAATACTTATACGGATTTCAACAAATCCGAAATGGCACTATTATTGAAGTTGTCATGAAGTCCAAAGAAGCCAAGGAAACGCTTCTTGACAAAGGTTTAATAATCAACGGTATAAGGCAACGTTTCTATAACTCCACTCCAAGTAGAAACATTAGTAAACGAGTTACTATCTCTATACTAGGTTTGCCAATTGAAAAATGTAGTTTCCCGGCCGGAAAAATACTAGAGGAGCTAGGATACGGGAAACATCTAACGACTAGACCTATTTTTAAAGAAACACCTAAGAAGAAAACACTATACTACTCAGGGATTATAGTAACTACTATGGAAGGATTAGTAAAACCTGTTCCTAGACTTATTAACCTAAAAGGATATGATGTGAGAGCGATTTATACCGGACAAGAAGACATTGGTTCTAAAGCCCAAAATAATGCAACAACAAAAATTACTAAAGCTAACAATAAAGCACAAACACATAATGATTTAACCTTAGATGAGTCCTTAGAAGAAACATCAAAAATAATCCAATGTTCAACGAAAGATGAACATACAAAGGACCTCAAAGCAAAAGAAAACGAAAATTATGCTAACAGCGAAGATTATAGTAAAGGGAGTACGAGTGAGAATGTTATTGGAGGTATAGAAGAGGGTAAAGGCGATGAAAGTAACGATGAGGATAAGGGCGATGAGAGTAAAAGTGACGAAAATAAACTAAATAATAAAGATGATGAAGAAAATAAAGGCGATGATGATGAGGTGATCAGTAATGTAAGGAAAATAGATAAGAGTAACGAAATTGAAAAGGAAAACGAGGAAAATGTTTTTAGTAAAGAAGATAGTCTCGATGATATAAAGATCGATGAAGAATTTTTAAAAATGTCACATCTTGATAAATTTGATTACAACTGGAAACTTTTTAAAAATTTCGACAGGCTTAATTGCACTAAAGAAGAACTAAATAAATTTAAAAAGTATAAAAAACTGGAGTGGCAACAATTTGAAAGAGCAAGAGTTAATATTTATGATAAACTTGATGAATACGAAAAAGCAGTTGGTAGATTACTACCAGATAAATACGAACAAATGGACTCAGGGGAAATGTATGGGTTCAATATGAGAGAATTGAAAAACTTTGACATGAAAACTGCGGATATATCCGAAAAAAGAAAATATTACGTTTTAAAAATATCCGAATGGAAACAACGTGGAAAGGAACACTCTCAGTTTATTCTAGACCATGAAATTAAACAGGAAGAACGTAACCTTAAAAAGCAAAGATATCAATTAACAAAAAAACGAAAATTAACACCACAATTATAAAACTAATATCAATTAGAAATTACTTTAAAAACACAGCAATCATATACAACAACTTTAAGAATCTTAAAAATTTATAAATCTATTAACATTAATAAAACTTTAATGAATAAAACCAAACAAAAATATAAAATTAACAAAACAAAATAAAAACTATATAAAAAAAAAAAAAAAAAAAAAGTATCTGTTCTTATCTATATACTAATACTAAAGAGAATTATTCAAGTGAATATAGTACATTACGGAAAACCCTTTTATGTAGAATAGAAAAGCCGGTATCTGATATCGAAGTTTTACTTTCGTTAGAAGATGCTTTTTTAGATATCGACTTAGAAGGCCTGCAAATAATTAAAAACAATACGTTGATTGAAATTGTTATGAAAAACGATAAAAGTAAGCAAATACTCCTTGACAAGGGACTAACTATTAACAATATACCACACCGATTTTTTCAATCTACACCCACGAGAAATATAAGTACTCGTGTCACGATGTCTATTCTTGGATTGCCAATTGAAAAGAAAGGTTTTCCTGCTGGAATAGCCTTAGAAGAATTAGGATATGGAACTCATATCTATACTAAACCTATTTATAGAAGGACACCAAGAAACAAAACCCCATACTACTCGGGAATATTAATTGTTGTTTTAGATAACCTTGTAAAACCAATACCAAGATTAATGAAGCTTAAGGGATACAATGTGAGAGTTATATATTCAGGACAGGTAGATGCAGAAAGTGTACCCCAAAGCAATGACGATCAAAATAAACGCAAAGTAGACGAAGAATGCGAGTTAACTCAGAGTACTGTAATTTTAACAGATTCACCAAGTCCAAGTGACATAATAATATCTAAAGGTGATAACAATACTGTCGTCGAAAAAGACATACTAATAGTTTGTGATAACAAATCACTAGATGAAATACCAGAAGTAAAAGATAATAAAGAAATTAACAAAGCGAATTCTGATAAAAAAACTTCAATTAATGAGACATTACTAAAAAAACGTAAACCAATAGCAAATGATGAAAAACTAACAAACTTTCCTCAATTAATACCAGAAAACGAAAAAGAACTAAAACCAAAGAGAAATAAAACATTAAAATTAACGTCGAATATACTTAATTCCGAAAAAGCTATTCCTGTATCAGATACCAGTCATAAAGAAATAGAACAAGCAGCTAAACAAAAAAAAGAAGTATACGAATGGCCTAGGAACCCTGAACGAAAAGAAATTGATGTGAGCGATGTCAAACTTCCAGAAGAATTCAAAAATATGAGTGCCAGACAAATAAGTGATTTCAACATAGAGTTTTTCAAAGACTTTGACAAACAAAATTGTCGTGAAAGTGAATTAAAATTATATATTAGATATAAACGGGCTCAATACGCAAAAGAAAGATCAGAGATTGTTACATTAAACAGTGATTGGGACATTCCTGGTACGTGGTTAATGAAAGAACCACCTCAAAATCAACACAAAAAAGATCAATCTGATTCAAAATATCGAAATGATTGGTATTAATATATCTATATTAACTTAGATAATATTGTATTAAACACTTACTAAAAATCAAAATATCTTTTTTAAAATAAAAGTTCAACTGTAAACTAAAAACATAAAAATCAAAAAACATTTGCAACAGTTATTTCAAATAATACAAAAATAAATAAAAAGTATATAACTAAATAAAAAAACAAATAAAAATTTTAAAAATCTGATAAAAACAAAATAAAAATTAAAAAACCTTTACTATAATCAAAAAATCAAAAAATTATAAAATATAACAGAATATCTTTAATATACTCTGTCTAGTTTTAACTAAGCAGCACATAATATATCTACTTAATTGGATAATAAGAGTTTTATTCTCTTAATATAAAAGAATATTTTCATAATTTTATAAAGAAAAAAAAAAAAAAAAAAAAAAAAAAAAAAAAAAAAAAAAAAAAAAAAAGTATCTGTTCTTATCAGTTTAATATCTGGTACGCCGGCACAGTCCGGCTCATATATTAATCTGATTTTTGGCATTAGGTCATGGGATCATAGGTTTACCTTGCCCTGACCACGGGTTGCCTCGGCTTTGCACTACTGCTGAGCGCGGCCCAGAATGAAAATAATTGAAATTTTTTGACATTTAGAGTGTCTAACATCGCCGATGGTGTCAGCTGCTGCTGATGATGATGCTGCTGATGATGACGACGACAAAAATGATTTGACGTACTAATGCAAACCACAAGTACATTGTTGAAGACGGCGTCTGTCCGACTATGTCTGCAGTGGTCAGTTATCGCTTCTCGGCCTAATGGCTAAGATCAAGTGTAGTATCTGTTCTTATCGCTTCTCGGCCTAATGGCTAAGATCAAGTGTAGTATCTGTTCTTGATTTTAGTCCATTAGGTGTATAATCGAGTTAGAGATTACTTTTGGTGAGGCCTACGTGCCTCCTAAATATTTGAAGGGTTTACCCTACCTCTACAACGGGTTGCCGGTACGGCAACTTTAGCTTGTAGAAGGTCGGGTGTATCTTAAGAGTTTATTACAGAGACCGAAAGTATTAAGGGTATATAATACACGTAGTGTATTACCAATATGAATTCTAGTTTAATAGAAATAGATACTGACAACATAGGCCCGACTGCCATCAAGAAAAGCTATTGTCAAGCTGTATCGGCAACAAATAAGAAACAACCTATTAGGTACAGCATTCTAAGTAGGACTCTTTTGAGTAATATAACTCAAAACATTACTGAACTCGATGTCTTAACGGCAATTGAAGATGCTGGGTTAGACAAAGAGCTGGAAGCTTTCCAGATTATTCGTAACGGTACGATGATTGAGCTGATCATGAAAACCGACAAAGCAAAGTCATCGCTCCAAGAAAATGGTCTTTGTGTTAAAGGTGTAATACACAATTTTTACAATTCAACTCCTACTAGAAATATTAGTAGAAGAATTGCAGTATCCGTTATTGGATTACCGCTAGAAAAAAAGGGATTTCCAGTGGGAGTAGCGCTGGAAGAGTTAGGATATGGCAAACATATTCACACAAGACCAGTGTTCAAAAAAACACCGAAGAATAAAACACCGTACTTCTCGGGAATACTAGTTGTCATAATTGACAACCTATTAAAACCTATACCAAGGAACCTAAGATTAAAAGGGTACAATCTTAGAATTGTCTATACGGGACAAGAGCAACCAGAAAATAATAAAAACAAAAACGAAACACCAAAAAGAGTAATACCTGAAACAGAAGAGACATTATCGTCAGAAAAAGAAAACAGCTCTGGAGAAGAGAAAGAAGAAGCTAACGTACCATTAAGTAATGAGGATGTATCTATTCCAACTATAGTTACAACAGAACCAGAAAAGGTTGCGAACTTAAATGAATTAGCACCTTATAATACTCAATGTAACAACGATAATACAACTGCATGTAGTAACAAAGATGAAACAACAGAAGAATTGGAAGACGGGGAAATAAATATACCTGACGAACTCGAATGTTTGAACCATTTAGAAATGGTAGAACAAAACTGGAAAATATTTAAAAATTTTGACAGATATAACTGTACTGAAGAAGAACTAGAAAAACTAAAGATCTATAAAAAAGTAGAATGGGACCAGTTTGAATCAGAACGCAGGAACTACAGAGCACTTGAAAACGAACAAAAAAAACAAGGCATATTAACGCCATCTAGTTTTAAAAATATGGATTCAGGAGAAATGTACTCCTATAATAAAAAAGAATTCAAAAACCATGACAGTGATGAATGTTCATTTGAAGAATCAAAAAAGTATGCAGCTCATAAAAAAGCAGAATGGGACCAACGGAAAAAAGAATTTGATCTTTTTGTTGAAGATCATGAATTAAAACAAGAAGAAAGAAAGCAAAAGTTCAAATTAAACCAAATGAAAAAACAAAAAAGGCAAAGGTTTAACGAATAAACAAAAAATAAAAACTAATAAAAATATATAATCAAATGAAAATAAAACAAAATAAAAATATAAAACTATAAAAATACAAATTAAAAATATAAAACCAACTAAAATCAAAATAAAAACTTTAAAAATTATAATACAAAAAAAAGTAAAATAACTAAATCAGCAGATTTTAACACTTACAAAATAACTAAAAACAATTGCTTTAAAATATTAATAAAACAAATAAAAAATATTAAATTAATAACCCCTAAAAAGGTTAAAAAAAAAAAAAAAAAAAAAAAAAAAAAAAAAAAGTATCTGTTCTTATCAGTTTAATATCTGGTACGCCGGCACAGTCCGGCTCATATATTAATCTGATTTTTGGCATTAGGTCATGGGATCATAGGTTTACCTTGCCCTGACCACGGGTTGCCTCGGCTTTGCACTACTGCTGAGCGCGGCCCAGAATGAAAATAATTGAAATTTTTTGACATTTAGAGTGTCTAACATCGCCGATGGTCTCAGCTGCTGCTGATGATGATGCTGCTGATGATGACGACGACAAAAATGATTTGACGTACTAATGCAAACCACAAGTACATTGTTGAAGACGGCGTCTGTCCGACTATGTCTGCAGTGGTCAGTTATCGCTTCTCGGCCTAATGGCTAAGATCAAGTGTAGTATCTGTTCTTTGTGTTAAAGGTGTGAAAAAGGTCTTTGTGTTAAAGGTGTAATACACAATTTTCACAATTCAACTCCTACTAGAAATATTAGTAAAAGAATTGCAGTATCCGTTATTGGATTACCGTTAGAAAAAAAGGGGTTTCCAGTAGGAGTAGCACTGGAAGAGTTAGGATATGGTAAGCATATCCACACAAGACCAGTGTTCAAAAAAACACCGAAGAATAAAACACCGTACTTCTCGGGAATACTAGTTGTCATTATTGACAACCTATTAAAACCTATACCAAGGAACCTAAGATTAAAGGGGTACAATCTTAGAATTGTCTATACGGGACAAGAGCTACCAGAAAATAATAAAAACAAAAATGAAACACCAAAAATAGTGATACCTGAAACAGAAGAGACATTATCTTCAGAAAAAGAAAACAGCTCTGGAGAAGAGAAAGAAGAAGCTACCTTACCATTAAATAATGAGGATGTACCTATTCCAACTATAGTTACAACAGAACCAGAAAAGGTTGCGACCTTAAATGAATTAACACCTTGTAATACTGAACGTAACAACGATAACACAAATGAATGTAGTAACAAAGAAGATATAACAACAGAAGAATTGGAGGACGGGGAAATAAATATACCTGACGAGCTCGAATGTTTAAACCATTTAGAAATGGTAGAACATAATTGGAAATTATTCAAAAATTTTGACAGATACAACTGCTCTGAAGAAGAACTACAAAAACTGAAGATCTATAAAAAAGTAGAATGGGACCAATTTGAATCAGAACGCAGAAACTACAGAGCACTTGAAAACGACCAAAAAAAAACAGGCAAAATAACGCCTTTTTTTTTTGAAAATATGGATTCAGGAGAAATATACGCCTATAATAAAAAAGAATTTAAAAACCATGACAGTGAGGAATGTTCATCTGAAGAAACAAAAAAGTATGTAGCTTATAAAAAAGCAGAATGGGACCAACGGAAAAAAGAATTTGATCTTTTTGTTAAGATTCACGAAGTAAAACAAGAGGAAAGAAAGCAAAAATTCAAGTTAAACCAAATGAAAAAACAAAAAAGAAAAAGGTTTAACGAAGAAACAAAAACATAAAAACTCATAAAAATATATAATCAAATATAAATAAAACAAAATAAAAATAAAAAACTAAAATTATAAATAAAAAATATAAAACCGACCAAAATCAATAAAAAACTTTAAAAATTATAATTTAAAAAAAAAAAAAAAAAAAAAAAAAAAAAAAAGTATCTGTTCTTATCGCTTCTCGGCCTAATGGCTAAGATCAAGAGGGGTACTCTTTTGATTTATTAGCATTTTGACGAGCTAGCGACCTTTATAGAGTGAATTGTGATTATTGAGGGTATAGTGAGTATTGAGAGTCTTATAGAAGGTGTGAGGGGCGTACAGAGTGTTAGTGCGTACTGAGTGATCAAGCGTGTGTTTTAATATCTATAAAGTAAAAATGTCTGAACTTTCTAGTATGACTAATACCGAAGCAGATAATCTTGTTTATGATATGGAAAATACAATTGATAACTTACCTCAGGACTTATGCCTGGGTAATAAGGAAAAAAATAACCCAACTACGCAAGCAATGAGTTATGCTCAAGCTGCGTCTTCAAATGAAAACGAAAAAGTTAATGACTTTTTTAAGCTTGATAATACCTTAATTTCTAAGCTTTCAACAAACATATCTCTTCACGATGTACTATGTGCCCTCGAGGAAGAGAATCTCGATGAAGAACTTGATGGAGCACAATTAATCAAAAAGGGACAGCTCCTAGAAGTTGTAATGAAGAGCGATAAAGCTAAAAACAAACTTTTAGAAAGAGGCCTTACTATTAATGGGTTTCATCAGCGTTTTGTTCATTCAACACCAAAACGTGAACCTAGTACACGTGTTTACGTGTCAATCATAGGACTACCAATAGCCGCTAAACTAGCTCAAATAGGTAAAGACCTTGAAGAGCTAGGGTACGGGAAACATTTAAAAACATACCCGATCATGAAAGCAACACCAACTAAAGGTACCCAATACTTTTCCGGGACCTTAATGGCTGTTATGGAAAAGCTACATAAAGATATACCGAGATTTGTAAAACTAAGGGGCTGTCATGTAAGAGCTATCTACACAGGACAACCAGATACAAAAAAAACACAAGAAAATAACAATATTCCATCAGAAACAATCTCTTCAAAATCCTCTAAGGAAGAAACAATTACAACTAATGAAAAAGTAGAACAACAAGAATCCCAAATAAAACCCCAGAATAAAATTAATAATGAAAAAACAACTGTGAGGAAAACCAAAATACCTATAAAACCACGAACAGAACAAAACAAGGTAAAACCAAAAGAAACAAGCTCTACAAAACTAGTAGAAGAGAACAAAGATAGCAGTAGTGAAATGGAAGATGATCCTGAGGGTGATGGTTTTACGGAAGTAAAAGATAAAAATAAAAAAAGAAAACCCTCGGAAGAAAAACCTAAAGATCAAAACCCTAAAAGAACTAACATAGAGACGATTCCGTATAGAAGAGACCCCAATAGTTTAATAAATTATAAATACATATCAAAACTAAATAAAAATACAAAACAAATAGACCAATAAAAATATAAAATAAAAACCAAATAAAAATATAAAATAAAAAAAAAAAAAAACCAAATAAAAATACAAAATAAAAAAAAAAAAAAAAAAACAATAAAAATATAAAATAAAAAACCAAATAAAAATATGAAAAAAAAAAAAAAAAAAAGTAATAAAAAGAATAAAAATGGCTGTTAAAATTTTAACATATAATGTCAACGGTCTAAACATTAATGCCAAAAGGCACAATATAATGAGATTTCTAGAATCTCAAAACTGTGATCTCTTCTGTCTCCAAGAGACACACTGCACAAACGAAAAATCCGAGCTATGGTCAAATGAGTGGGCAAACAAAACTAATGGCTCGTCGATCTGGCACAACGGAACAAATAATCATGCCGGTGTTGCCTTTTTAACAAAACAAAAAACATCTTTCAAAGAAATTACGAGCGATCAAAATGGAAGAATAATTGCAGCGACTTTTGAAATTCAGAAACTGACCATAAGAGTCATAAACATATACGGACCAAACATACCCCAAGAAAAAGAAAATTTTTTTGGTCAACTAAGTAAACACTCGAAAAAATCTGACCTTACTTTTTTAGCAGGAGACTTTAATATGGTCGAAAACCCTGTCATTGATAGAGAGGGAGGAGACGCTTTAAACAAAAACAATATCCTTGGAAGTCAAAATTTAAGAAATTTCATTGAAAAACAAAATTTGCATGATACTTTCCGTAAGGAAAATCCACTAGCTTTTGAATTCACTTTTGTAAAGGCAGACAGATCCTACAAAAGTAGAATTGATCGCATATATGCCACAACCAATGAGCACACAACATCTTTCTGTAAAATACTCAATACAAATTTTAGTGATCACAAGCCCTACCTCTGCATTTATCCCCTTGAACATAAAAACAAACGGGGCCCAGGGTATTGGCACCTGAATACAGAATTACTCCATGATAATACCTTTAAAGTAGACCTTAAAGAATCTTTCGAAAAACTAAGAAACAAAAAACAAAGCTATGAAAATACCAATCAATGGTGGGAAATAGTTAAGAGCGAAATTAAAAATACTGCAATAAAACTATCAACACTCAAAAATAAAGAAAATAAAAAAAAAAAGTTACTTATCGAAAAACAAATAGAAACTGAAAAGGGAAAAGCAAACCGTGACCTTGGAAAAATTAATATATTGGAAAGAGAGCTAAAAACTTTAACAACAGTACGTGGTGTTTTTGTAAGAACAAAACAAAAAATTATAGAAGATGGCGAAAACCCTTCAAAAGCTCTTTTCCAAATGGAAAAAAATAATCAAGACAAAAAAAACATTAAACAGCTAAAAGAAGGTGAATCATATTACTACGACACGGTAAATATACTCAGAATAGTACGAGAATACTATAAAAACCTATATAAACCGAAAATGTTAGATAGGAGAAAACAAAACAAATTTCTAAACAACATTAACTCATCTTTAACTGAGGAACAAAACTTAACCCTAAACACAAAATTCACAAGTGAAGAACTTTTTCTAGCTGCGATTTCACTAAGTAAAGGTAAGACCCCTGGAATAGATGGTCTTCCGGTAGAACTCTACCAGGAATGTTGGGAAATTTATGGAGATGAATTTACAGCACTTGCAAATGATAATGTATTCGCCACAGGAGGAGATTTCTCTTGGTCGCAGAAGATGGCTCTTGTGTGTCTTCTCCCTAAGGAAGGAGATACATCTGAGCTCAAAAACTGGCGGCCAATATCCCTCCTGTGTGCGGACTACAAAATAATAACTAAGGCACTTGCCTTGAGATTGTCCCGTGTAATAAACCTAATACTAAGTACAAGCCAAACTTGCTCAGTTCCTGGCAGGAACATCTTTCACAACCTCTTTTTAGTTAGAGATCTTATACAGTATTCGAACGAAAAAAGCATCAAAGGCCTAATCTTAACCATTGATCAAGAAAAAGCCTTTGATAAAATAGACCGTGACTTTCTTTATGCAACTATGGAAAAGTTCAACCTAGGAAAACAGTTTATCAACGCCATAAAACGTACTATGGAACATGCCAAATCCATGATTCTCATTAACGGCTACATTGGTAAACCTTTCAAAATAAAAAGAGGAGTGAGACAAGGCGATCCAATAGCCTTAATGCTTTACTGCATAGCGATTGAGTCCCTATCACTAAAAATAAATAAAAACCGAAAAATTAATGGGTTCCCTTTGCCTGGTTCGATAGCTCAACTTAAAATTACACAATACGCAGACGACACCACCTTCTTCCTGAGAGATGCTAATTCCATAAACAGAGTTTTCGTAATACTGCAAAAATTTGAAGAAGCCACAGGGTCCAACATTAATAAAGCTAAGACAAAAGCCTTGGCCCTTGGGGGCTTTAATTATATAGAATACGAGAAATCAACAAAACTACTAAACCAAAAGAACTTCAATATTCAATGGACCAACATAAATGGAATTAAAATCCTAGGAACGCACTTCCATACGGACCTGGCATATACTGCAACCTTAAACTGGTCAAACTCACTCGAGAAATTCACTAAAAAAACTAAAAACTTTAAATACCGAAATGTGTCACTAAGGTGCAAGGCTATACTCTTAAATACGCTTGCACTCTCAAAAGTGTGGTTTGTTGCGAATGTATTTCCAATCAACGAAATAATAGCAAAAAAAATTAAAAAAGAGACATCTAAATACCTATGGCAAAGCGACCATGCTGAGCCCGTTAAAAGAGACATCCTCACGTTATCGGTCGACAAAGGTGGTCTAGGTATTCTAGACGTTCAAAAACAATGCCTCTCTTTAAGACTAAAACATCTCTTCACTCTGCAGGAAACTAAAAATCCACATCCATTTTATTTCCTACAAAAATACTTTTTAGCACACAATCTAACAAGATTTGCTAACACAACGCATCCCCAATGGAAATTTCTAACAAAAAATCAATTTCCTAAGTCTCTTAACAGCATTCCTTTCTACTATAAGGATGTTGTCGAAAGCCTTAAATCCACTAATTCAATATTTCATGTCAATCCTAAAAAGACTAAAAATCTATATACACACCTATTAAATAATAAAGAATCTGAAGCAATAAAAACTATTGAAAAAAAATGGGAAGACCAGTTACAAATACAAATGCCTTGGAAAAAAATATGGGAAAAAAACTTCAAATCATACGCTCAGGGACCAAGTAAAAACACATTATGGAGAATACACACACACAGCCTGCCAACACTAGAAAAACAAAAAAAATGGCGCAAAAACCGAGGAGGAGGAAACGATAAATGCAAAACCTGCAACCAAAAAGAAACCACACTCCATACATTTATAGCTTGTCCCAAAGCAAGAACAATATGGAAAAAATATAAAAACGTATATGGGAAACTAGACCCATCAAAGAAATTTAATGCTGTCCACACTCTCTTCCATATTAATACAAAAGATAAAAATCCAAAAAGCAACATAGCCTTAATTATAACAACC